CAGGTCATGATCTGTTGCATTTGCTTCCATACCATTGCATATTTAATTCATTTGAAATTGTATGGTTCAGTTGATTCTATACCATTTCAATTGAATTCAATTATAAAATTAAATTAAGGAAGTACAACAAATTAAAAATCATTTGGTAACATGGGAAGCCATAACAAAAAATTATTGGGGAAAGAACAAATAGCAAATGTTAATGAAGTTATTAAAAAAAAATCAAAATTAAAATCGCCGTCGCTATCATTAGTAGGTATCTTCATTTAAATTCATAATAATTTATATACTATTATTATTATTATTATTAGTACGTATGTGATAACCCAAATGACCCCCGAAAAATTGGAAATTTGGCCTTGAACTGTGCTCGTCAACATATGGAACCCTAGGTTGTGTGTGATTTTTTATGGTGGAATATCTTCAAATGCAATGTGGTGAAAACACGAAAATTGGAATTAATCAAATACAAAAAAAAAAAGAGTGCTTGGCCAAAGACGCACGGATGGAGTTTTAACTCTGCGTTGTCAATTTATATAAATTAAACACGTATATGCGGCGAAATCATTAATTTTCTCTTAAAAATATAATAAAAACCAAAAATATGTTACATTTGTATTTTTTCACAAAATCAAGCTGTAAAAGAAATTAAAGTTTCCAAAAAAGCAAAACCAATGATCGCACACACACTATTTAAGAACGTCAATAACGGGTACTTTCCCCACGAACCTGTAAGACTGCTGCCATACTCCAGGGCATGCCATGACATAAATTGTTTATTTATTCTTGTTGTATATTCCCTCATTCCTTTAAAAGCATATTCTGAAGCTCATCTAAAGTGTGGGGTACAGGTATACTCAATTAATATGCTGGTCAAGAAACAACATCAAAAGTAAGCGTAGCAAAAACGCCGAAGCACTGTACTCAGAAAAATATTAGCTTGCCCGTTTTTTATGCCGGTAAGTTTATAAAGCTGGTCTCGGAAACGCTGCGCTCTAGAGCGGTGACGTCGAGAATAAATGTTCAAATTCAAGCCGCAAAAAAATTAAACCTACAAAAAATAAGTATTTACGACGAAACCTGTAAGAAGATATTAAAGCCCTTCCGTTTGTCGAATCCACGACGGTATGAATTTAGCACCTAATTTTTAAAGACGCTTCTCCCAAAATGGAGCAATGTTTCAAATTAGTTTAAATACCATAAAATGAACTATTAAAATCTCGAGTGAAAAATTATGAAGTGTAGATAATGTAATTATTTAAATAAAACCATCCAAAAACTTATTCCATGTTTTTTTATTAAAGAACCAGCAACGTTGCACATTTTTCAGAAATACAAGTGGCAACTAGGAGGTACTTTGAACAATTACAGCTCATTCGACTGCAAATTTAACGAGAAAATCAACTGTTAGACAAGATACCTACGACAAAAGGATAATTTTAATGTAATAAATAATGGTGGGAACGAATATAACAGTTTAAAGGCAGTGTTTGTTAATTTCTTAAAATAAAATTCATTTCATTTAATTTAATGTTTATTAAAAGGTGTTTGACAGATCGTGCAATGCAAAATGTCATTTTAAGTAGTTTTTAATGATAATACTATTAGTTTGAGTATTATTAAAAAGTTTGGTCTTGGTGCAATCGGCCATTTTTTCCCTTAATGTATTCCGGTCAGTGGTACTTTTTTATTTATTGGCAGCTGCTTGTTTTATGTTCCCGATTATACTGGTCGACAAAGGAATTGTTTCTTCCACTCTGTACATTTGACGCATTTGTTTATGCTAAATCCCTAAACAATTTTTATTTTTTCCATTATGTTAGGATTGTCAGTTTTTCTATTTTTTCTTAAAAAAATTCGTCGAAGGTTGTTTCAACAGAACTTCCCACGCCAATAAAGTACATACAATGAAACATATCTAACATTTTCGAAAAATTATAAAATTGATTTTGCGAATTTTATTTTTGTATTAGAACTCCTGTAAGTTGAAATAAACATACGGTTCTGTTCTGCGCTTAGTTTTGTGTTCAAAGTTCACCCCAAAAAATTGAATTTAAAATACCCGGACCTAATTTTGATTTGGGCAAAATGACTACGGTGCAGACGATTTCATACGTCCATTTCATGTCCAAGTCTCTAATCCCGGAGGTTAATCAGTAGGAGAGGGTACTGTCTATCTGCGCTGTACAAAATAATGACCCCTGCTACTTTTCGTATTTTAGGTGGGACCATGGTAGAAGGTCTCTTGTCTCCTACTACCATGGGTGGGACCACCGCAGCATGACAAGCAACCGATGTTTCTACAGGTTTAAATGGCAGATTTGAATATTTTTCAATAAATATAAATAAATGAAACTAAAATTCTTTTATTATCAACTGTAATCAAGACATATTTCTGCGCATCACTTCGGCAATTTGTATACTTTCCACAGTCCCGTATGTAATTATTATAGCAAATTGAATGGACGACAAAGTGATATTTTTCCAAAGAATTTTTTTTACTATGCAATGACGATTGGAACAAAGAAGTAACAGATATGATGGGAGGGTTGTCGGAAGCGTCGATAAGTGAGTGCCTATAGAGCTATCGGGTGCTCTTTGACCGCTAGCGCCAGGAAAGTCGACGGTTCACTGTGAACAACGGAGCCCAATCTCCTAATAATTAACCTCCGTGTCTCTAATCTATGACACTATGACCACGCTTTTCCCTCATTATGGAAAATTAGGAACACACAGCAGTATATACTTTATTAGGTACGAGATGATTTTAAATAAATTACGCATTATGCTTCAATTTGTTTTTTTCTTATTTAAGGTCTAAGCTGGTCCACCATAATTTTAAAGTCTAGCACTGCTACTGACATGGCATAAAAAAGCTTGCATAAAACTATAAAATGCCCGCATTTCTCGCCTCACCTCTGATTGGTCGGTCTAAACGCTTGAGGCTACATCTAGTACTTCAATATCTATGCTGCCACTCATTTCTGTGAGTGTAGTCATGTTCTGTGGTTATAGTACGATGAAAAGTTGCCGATTTTTCTGTAGATCCACTACCCAGCTGTGTGTGTGGTGTGCAGTGTTGCCAGACGTAGCGAAATTTCACTACTGGTAGTTTTTGAAGTTGGTGGGTGTTGAGTTTTGTTACGAGCGCAAAAAAAAAATTGTATGCGACTCGTGAGTAAAGTGGCTTTTTTTTACTCGGCGGATTTGCGCACTCGCCTGGCAAATTTTCTTTCTCGTAAAAAAAAGATACACTTTACTCACTATAGTTGCATAAATAACTATAGTTATTTTTTTCACGTTCGTAACAAAACTCAACAACCACCAACTTCAAAAACTTTTTATTTTGGAACATAGATATTAAATGTAGAGCGTATTTGCCATCTTGACAATTTTTTCTGGGGTGCAAGAGAAATTTTCATCGTTGTCCAATTGCATTAGACAAGAAGAAAACTAATACAAAACCACTTGTTTTGATGAATGATGAATTATCATAGCAACGGCAGGCTTCTATGTTTTACCATGGCCGACTAGTATAAAGATTATGGCCTGTCCAAAGGAATGTCAAAGGTACATTACGTGCTGCCATCTATTAATAATTCAAAAACGACAAAAGAATTATTAACACCTTTTGAAAGGCACAAAGGCATTCATACCCAAACAAACCACCATTACACGTTTTGAAGTCCCATAATGTCAAGTCAAATTAAAATTTTGCTAAATTATTAAGTGTAATTATTAATAGATGGCAACACGTATCGTACCTCTTGGACAGGCCATAATCTTTATACTAGTCGGCCATGGTTTTACTACCGTTAAAAAATGACACGCTACGACACTTTTTTTCACTCAAATGCGCGAAAAAATGAAACGCTATAACACTTTTTTTCACGCTTCTAATGCGATGAAATAAACGTATCCTTTATAAACAAAAATTAATAAAAAATGTATAATTAATTATTTAAATCCTTACAAAACGATATACTAACAAACAAGCAGAGTCAAATTTTTAAATAAACTGGCTTCTGCCATGCAGTTGCCGCCAAAATAATTAACATGAATATTTTAGTAGTTACATAAAAAACCACCGTTGAATGCTTAGAATTACTTGCATACAACGTATGTTGAAAAAAGTCAAAAATTTTGCTATGGAGGAGCTTCACGGACACATTATTATTTTACAAACGTTCATCACTGCCGCGATATGAAAAAAAAAACAACAACACAAAACATGTTCAAACGATTGCGGCTAATAATTTTAACAATTTATTGTTTAAATACTTGGTAAATATATTTTTATTTTTATTACTATTGCTTTTGTTGCAAACGATAAAGTAAATAACAAAACCAAACTCCTAAATATCATTTATTTGCGAAAGTTTAAGAAAAATTGTCCGCCAAAAGTATTATATTTGTAAGAAATGGGCATGTCCGACCAGTGCAGGTAGTAGGAAAATAATAAAAATATTTACTTATTATACCGGAAATATTGTTAATCCTCTCATTTCAAATTTAGCCTACAAATGTTGAAAATTCCTCCCCTTCGTAAATAGTTACCTTACCGCGATCAATTGTTTCTGTAATTCAGACAAACAACATACCCTTGATAGGAATAAATCACATATCTAGAGATGATCCCCCGACAGTAGGAGGTACTTTAATATTTACATATAATTAATATATTTACCGAAAACAATTTAAGTACGGAAACAAAATAAATAACTGGAAAGAATTAACTGTAAGGTTCACTTCTTACCGGTTTTGAACGGCCAAGGATAAATTCAGGTACCCGGCTTTTGTTCGCAATGATTATGGCTAGACAGGCACTGCTAGGGGTTGTGTAGCAAAACTTATTTCCGTACAGTAAAAAATAGAATTCTACGGATCGGTGCTGCATTTATTCATATTTTAGCAATTCACTAACAGGGGGCAGCATCTCCCGGATCGTTTTACTGTCACTTTGACCAGGCAGATATGTTGCCTCCAGACGGCAGCCTTAACTCTGGCAACACTGGTGGTGTGTGGGTGATTCTCCATTCCGCATTCAGCAGGTTTTGTTGTGATTCGTGTTTGATTCGTGAGCCCACAAAGCCAACTCGTGGCATCCTGACTTTCCACCTTGGACAGTAAATGTGACAATTAATTTCAATATTTACAAGAGTGTTTAAGTGACTAATTTTCTTATCATTTTATTGTTGGATCATCTCGTGTTAATATACGAGTGTGATTTCCAATAAGTTTTCATATTGTGAATTGTTCGGAAATCTTCGTACTAAAACTACCCCCCAAATTTAAATTGTAATTTAAGTTGTGCCAAAAAATACAGTAGTCGCTATTAATTTTTTTACACGGAAAGATATTGACATGGAGTACGACCAAAACCAGTTGATGTTGAAATATGTCAACCCCATGTGCACAGAAAAATGTTGGAATAATATGATAGATGGTAAGCTTCAGTGTAATTGTGCTGATGGAGATATCTACAGCTGGAAATGGGAAAAACATGAAGACACATGTGCTATTTTAACAAAAGATAATTGCGAAGTAATATTTCACCCCGTGTATAGTTCGGGGACGGCTGCATTAAGAGGAACTACATCATTCACAAAGAACGTTCATCATTTTTGGGAGATGAAGATGTTATCAAATTTATATGGAACAGATGTTGTAAGTTGGGTATTTTAAAAACATAATTTGCATCACAATATTATCTCCAAGACCTATTTGACCTTAACTTTTTATATGCTAATGATTGCACAATTTGTTGTAGATGGTAGGAGTTGGAACTTCAAAGGTAGTGTTCAGTGTTTGGGGAAATCGATTTTTTAGCTTATTAGGATGTAATAAATTTTCTTGGGGATATTCATATAATGGAGAAATACACCATGACAATGTTCGAACGTGCTATGGATCCAGATTTGGTTTAGGTAGTTTAATTGGTGTACATTTAGATATGTGCAAAGGTACTTTAGAATATTATATGAACAGGAGACCTCTAGGTAAAGCTGCATTTCCATAGGGATTCAAGTCATTTGTTACATATTTTTACGTTTCAGGTATCGCATTTAAGGGATTAAAAACACATGAACTTTACCCGATGATATGTTCAACTGCAGCACAGTCTGCCATGAAAATGACTTTTGCTATTTCCGTTGAATCATCCCTTCAATTAATGTGTCTGCAATTGATCCTCAAACATCCCCAGTTATATAATCAATTTAAAAATATTCCTGGTTTAAAGAGAATTTATGAAAATAATTTTTTCTGGCTCTTTCCAAAAGGTAAAGTATAAAAATTTTAGATTATAGGAGAATTTTATTTAATTTGTAGAATATGAAGATTCAAAAAGAAGAGTCAAAAATGATGGAAAATCGCTAAAGCGAAGAAAAATGATTAAGTCTAAACAGAATGAGTAAAAGAACAATAACTTCAAGCTTCATTTTGCAAATTGTGATGAGTGATGATTTGTCAACTGTGATGTATGTATGTGCTTATACCTGATTCAATCACGGTTGAAGGAAACTCAAAAAAATTGTATTTTAAAACAAAATACAAAGAAGTTATTAAATAGGAAAATAATTTGAGAAGAAAAATTGAAAAAAGAATGGAAATATATTTTAAGAGATTAGATAGATTTCGTATTATTTATTTTCATTTGATTAAACCGTATTATTTATAAAAATTTCTTTAAAAATACCCATTAATCAAAAATTGTTAATTCGTGCATTGCCATCATGCAACAGTTCATTCCTCTTGCAGACTAGACAATATTTTTTGCAATTTCCATACAGTTTTCATGACACAGGGATGGGAAAAAATAACCTCTTTTCGATATGTCATTGCAGAATTAGAATACTGAACTTATGTTTACAACTGTTTTTTTAAGGTGCCAAAAACCTACACTTACACCTACTTTAAAATTTAAAAGTGTCGTAATTCATCAGTCTTAAATTACGGAATCAGAAAAATGAAATTTCGGTATTATGTGTATTCCTCTGGTAAGTATAAAGTATATGTATGTTTCCTATACTTCTACCACAACACAACCATCATACACTTATCCATCCCCAGAGGTTTACAGAGAAGTGAGAATTTCTGATCATTTTTCTGATATAAGGTCCATCATACCTTACTCTTGCAGGTCTGTACACACGAAAACGACCATTATGCGAAGATTGAAATGTTTTTCGTCCGAAAAGACGACACTGTTCCAATAATCATTTCGATTTACGTATTCTTGGCAAACTCACATCTTGCCTGCTTATTTGCTTGAATTAAAAAAAATGTATTCCCAGCACAACGATTTCTTAACTCTTTCTAATTTTTCGACGAGCTGTTTGAGGAGAGCCTGGAAAATTGGTTTCTTCCTTAGCAAAAACAACTTTCCCAAAACGATTTTCTCTAAAAATTTGACTAAATCCTCATCTTCTGCTGCCGTTGAAACTCTAGGACGTGACCAACCAGGTTTTCTTGTGATGTATTCATTATCATGAATCCTCTAAGTAATTAACATTACAGTGTTTTTGGTAATTCTTAATTATCTTCGAGGTACGGTGTAGTACGGTTGTGTTTCCAATTATTGTGTGCAAATATAAGATAAGTACAAATTTATTATTAGATTTAAAAAAACACGATACTTATATCAGTAGCAAATTCGCGTTTTCTTTTTAATGTTTAAATAGATACCACTTGTATGTTATCATAGTTTTTCTTGGTAACTCTCGCAAACTTTTTGTAAAATTGTGTTATAAGAGTAACGCTCCACCAGGGTTCCCCTTTGGGGGAACAGTGTGATTGCAGCATTGTTCTACAACTCGATACGGTAATTAAAAATATACATATATATATATATATATATACAGGCTGCCTCAGACATAAGTACATTAATTTTAACCAGTAACAGAACTCGTGAAACGGAACAACTTTTTTATCTAGCATTTTTTCGAAAACTCAAGTCGAATTTCGAATTTTTCCACCCATACATTCACGAGCCGTCTATGTTCACCTTAAATAATAACAACACTACAACAATGAAGAAGGTACCCTAGCAATTGTTTTGACACTGACAATCATTTTTATGGCAAGTGTATGTTATTAAACGTTGTCTCTTTAAAGTTTGTTTGGCACAGATTTCTAATTTATAGACGAAATGTGTTGAAATTGCTTTGTTTTCAAATTTGGAATGCACCGATATTGTTTTAACGTACGGTGAAGCTCTGGGAAACGGCGCTCGCGCCCAAAGAATTTCTTCAGAAGCCTCCCAAATCGTCGTCTGCCAAATGTGCGCACTTTTAAGAACGTTGCAGCATCTTCGAGAGTACGGATCTTTTAAACTTGGACCTCAGGATCGGGGTAAGTTCCGTAGTAATAGAATTATTGCTAATATTGAAGAGGCTGTTTTGAAGAGTGTCGAAGCTCGACCGGGCACTAGCACGCATCACTGTCTAGTGTGATGTTGCGGAGAGTAGTATTTGGAGGATACTCAGAGAACAATTGTATCCCTTTCAGGACCAGAAAGATCAGTTATTTAAACCAGCAGACTTACTACGTAGGCAAAACTTTTGTGAGTGGGTTGATAAAAAAATAAACGAACAAGCAAATTTTGTATCTCTTATTATACCATCAACTGATGAGGCCGAACACACGAGGGAAGGTGTAATCAACATCCACATTTGGGCCGATGAAATTCCGTACGCCATTAGGGAGCAGCTAGCAGCATTTTCAATTTCTCTCTAAATGTTTGTCATGTTGACAAGATTAGGAAAATATATATCCTAGTCACTGTTTTTGACCATAAATTATTAATTGTAATAATTATTAGTGTCCATGGGTGACTGAGGATCCATGGGCGGGTCACCTTAAATGGGATAAAACTTTAACAATTTTGAACTTGATAATTAAAAAGTTCTTGACAAAACTCTATTAAAAAAAGTTGTTGAGTTCGATGAGCTCTATAACTGATTAAAATTAATGTACTTATTTCTGAGACACCCTGTATAAATGCCTGTGAAATATTCAAAATATAACAGGAATGTTAATGCACGCCAAGAATCATACGTATCCTGTAGAAGATGTTAATCAAACTTCCATCTGACATGTAGTGGTATTGCCGACGAAGCCTACGAAAAACTGATAGAGCAAGATAAACTTTCAACCTAGGTCTGTAACTTCTGTAAAAGTAGCAACAGTATCCAAAATGCCGCTGGCGCTGATCTCACGGCTAAATATGGTAATTCTGAAGGTCTCAGGTAGAATATTATTAATTTACCTGTTGCTAAATTGGTAAATGAGGTTCAAAAACTAATAAGTACTCAAAATTTACAACTGCAGTCTCCAGTAGCGGCTCGTGGTGCTCTCGTTACGGAGGCAACAGTTTTGTTTCAAAATCGCAGTTATAGGCACCGTGTTCGTAATTCTAATCAGGGCCGCCGTAAGCGGGGGTGCAAGGCGTGCACCGCACGCGGGCGCTGCCAAAGGGGGGCGGCAAATTGGCACGCAAAGTAGCACTTTTCAAAATTCCCAAAATAATATAAAAAAATGTACAACTCGAAAAAAGGGTTTATTGAGACTTTGGGAGAAAGCAAAAAAAGAGATATTGTTTAGGTCATCCAGTCATCGATAAATCAATAAACATCTGTTTTTTATAGTGCATGGTGAACAAACTTGTAGATCGGTAAAGCATAAAGGAATAAGTTTCCAGAATTGCGGGTGTTGTTTGTCGGAACGTCAAGGGGGATGTTAGCAATAAATTAAATTATTTTAGTAATTCACAGAAAGGTGTTAAAAAACATTGCTACAAAAATTAGTTGGTGTCCGAGCTGGCAAATGCAACATAGTTGTTATTTGCACTTGTAGTTTGGACGGTAAATTTATTTTATTGTTGCAAAATCTTTGATGATTTGCTGGAAATATCCGAAAATACTTCTTCATGGCAGTTATTTGTTCAACGATAATTTGATTTGATAAGTATTCTGAATCAAATCAACATCTTAACTAAAATGATGCAGAATCCTAACATCAACATCAAAGTATATATCAATTTATTTAAAGATGTAATAGGTTACTTTACCAAATATCGTTCAAATGAAAGTTTTGCTAAAATTATAACTGAAGCAGACAAACTTGCCTATGAAATTAATGTTGAACCATTTTTTCCGCCAATCCAAACCGTGCGTCCAAGAAGAAAACCGAAACATTTTGATCACGAGCAGAATTACGAAGTCGTAGATCCAAAAATTAATTTTAAAATAATTTTTTTTTATCGAATTCTGAACCAAACTTTGTCTTCTTTAAATAATAGATTTGAGGAACTAAACACATATGATAATATATTTGGGTTTTTCAATAATGTGTTGAAGTCCTCAGAAGAAGACATGTTAAAAAACTGTAAAGATTTACATTTAAAACTTGCAGTTGATTCCCTTGGTGAGGTCGACACTGCCGTATTTAATAAGATTAAAGCTTTAAAACTGCACTCTTCAGCTATACCGTTAGAAGATCCCCACCAAATTTTACGTACTGGTGTGAAAACAATTTAATCTCAACTTTTCCGATACATCAATAGCATTAAGAACTTTGCTTACACCACAGGTTTCGGTTGCATCTGGCCAGCGATCCTTTTCAAAATTGAAAATAATAAAAAATTATCTCAGATCAACCATGAGTCAAGGCAGGCTAAGTAACTTATCTATTGTTGCAACTGAACATGAATTGTTAGACAGTTTGGACATAAAAAAATAGTTGCAGAATTTCCCAGTATGAAATCTAGTGTGACGGTCCACCCTTGAGGAGAAACCGCAAAATACCGCAATAAGAAACTTCAGAACATAATTCTCTAACTCAAAGACTAAATTCGCATATTCGCAAAAAGCAAGCAAATTGCGCATGTCCAATCGCGCATGTATTCCAACCACCAAATAATTGCAAAACCCATATTCGCACACCATTGAGAAGTACTCACTCAGTCAACCCTAGCTAAATACCACACCCAAGCAAAAGTTCCAAGATGGCGACAGCATGTGACGTTAACATGATAACAAGACAAAGAAGAATCCACAACGTTGGCACGTGATTCTAACGACATTCAATTAAAAGCACAGAGGAACCAACACCAAATAAATCACACCAAATTAACTACCAAAGGCGTTACACAATAACGCAACGCAAGATAAAAGAAGCATAAAACAAACCAAATCTCACGCATTACCATCAATCTATTTTGCGACTTATCAGTCTGACGAAATTCTCGAAACAACGAAACTAAGACTTATAAAACCTCTAAATAAAGCCCAAAAGGATTGCATTCTTATCAACTAACCCAAATACGAATACCACGATGCAACACGTGCACTCATAAAGATGCCACCAAAGACATAATTAATGAGAAAAACGCCGTATAAATGGTCGCAAAAATCGGGAAGTCGAGGAAGTCGAATCCAGTGTGCCACGAAGACGACAAGTACCTACAACGATCGATACCCAAGTAGAGCCGTGCTGAAGCCTTGTCCAGCTGATAGTTCCTTGCCCGAAATTGCGAAGGAAGACTTAGAAAAGTTCCATGGTTTTTTGTAAGTGAAAGAATCTAAATTTAAACCGTCATGCATGTGTTATCTTGCTTCTGTGCCTTCTTCGA